TATTTCATCCCTTAAATCGGTATCTTCAGCTTTCTGCATGATTAATTGCTCTTTCTGAGTCTTGTTTTCTTTTCCCAGTCTCTGAATTTCATCCCTTAAGTTGGCTGCGCCATCTTTCTGACGGGTTAATTGTTCCTTTTGGGCATTGTTTTCTTCTTCCAGGTAATGCATTTCCTCCCTGAACTTGATTACTTCGTCCCTCTGCATGATCAGTTGTTCCTTCTGAATCTTGTCTTCTTCTTCCAGATTCTGAATTTCTTGCTTTAACTTCGTCACTTCACCTTCCTCCACGATCAGTTGTTCTTTCCAAGTCTTATTTTCCTCTTCCAGCTTCTGAATTTCCTCCATTAACTTGATCATTTTACCTTCCTGTATGATTGATCGTTCTTCATGAGTCTTGTTTTCTTCTTCCAGTCTTTTTATTTCGTCCCTTAAATTGGCTGCTCCATCTTTCTGCATGAACAAGTGATCTTTCTGAGTCAGATTTTCTTCTTCCAGTCTCCGAATTTCTTCCTTTAACTCGGCCACTTCACCAATATGCATCAGTTGTTCCTTCTGGGTCTTGTTTTCCTCCTCCAGTCTCAGTATTTCTTCCCATAAGTTGGTTAATTTCTCATTCTGTGCCAGTTGTTCTTTTTGAATCTTGTTTTCCTCTTTCAGTCTCCTTATTTCTTCCCTTAACTTGCTTGCTCCATCTTTCTGCATCAGTTTTTCTTTCTGAGTCTTGTTCTTCTCCTCCAATCTATGTATTTCTTCCATTAACTTGGTCATTTCATCTTTCTGCATCAGTTGGTCCTTCTTGTTTCCTTCTTCCAGTCTTCGTATTTCTCCTCTCAATTGGGTCACTTCATCTTCTTTCTGCATCAGTTTCTCATTCTGCCTCTTGTTTTCTTCTTCCAGTCTTTGCATATCTTCCCTCAGTTTGTTCAATAATCCATCACAGACCTCACCCAGAACTCTCTCTTCTTTCCTTTCTTGCTCAAACTGAATTCCATCATCCTGCTCCGACTCAGCTTCTTCAGCATCTTTCTCAACCTGGATCTCATCCTCCTGCTCAGGATCCTCAACTTCTGATTCAGCATACTCCTCCTCAGAAATTTCTGAGTACATATCATCAGGTTGATCCATTGCGCTTACTAACTTCCCAAGATAGCTCTTGGTTGAAGAGAATGGAGACCCCAGTGTTGTTACCAGGCGAGCTCCACCATCTGGCTTAACCAGATCATATCTTTCAGCTAGTGAGCGGTGAGCACGATAAAAATCTTCAACCATGCTAATAAGCTCAGGCCGTTTCTTGTAATACATTTCAGCTCGTTGAGCAAAGGAATCAGCATCCTCCTCAATCAATTTCAGCATTGCTTTTGTCTTTGCATCCAGCTCTGCCAAGAATCAACATCACCAGATCCAGCAGGAAATTAGTTTTTAAACATAGGCAAACTGGTAACTCTCAAGATTCAGAGAACTTCATCTTCTAAAAGATTCAATTGCTGAACAAGTCATTACAAAGAATAATCGCTTACTTCTCGAAGACATCAAGCATTTAATTCAGAAAATAAAGATAGATAAGGGACAGGTAATATCATTCGCATCAAAGAAAAAAATTTTTAAAAAAAATGGTGTTGCTTTGCAACATGTATGCCCACATGGCTCACCTAGAAACCAAACTTCTTCAACCACACAATTATTCCCCTTAATCTTGAGGGAAGATTTTTTTTTTAATAGTAGATAATCTTGATAAGATTTACTGCTGGTAGATACTCCAAGGATTAAATTAAAGTTCTTACGTTGGTAGAAAAGAGAAAGCAAAGACAAAGATGCATCTACAGGGCCTAATTGGTAAATAGCATAAAAAATGAGGTCCTACCAATATTTAGTTCTTAAAGAACTTAGATTTTGTTAATAAGTTGAGTTTCTTTTGATGCTTAAGCTTAATTTATTCCCGGTGGGTCCAGAGTAATTATTAGCTAATAAAGAGAGCTTTTAACCTTTCGGAAAATAATACATGATCTTTCAAAAGGACAAGCTAAAAAGTTAGAAAAAATTAATTTGTACTTGTTGGATTTCAGGGTACACAAGCAAACTGAGGACCACAATTTCCTTAACACCTAGAATTCCCACTTAACACAGCCACTCTCTACGTACAATCATCACATTTGTGACTGCAAATCCCCATCACAAACGGGGTCATGAAGATAAGATATCAGCTCTCCACAACAGAGACTTCTCTCTTGGCCTACCACTAAATCATGCCCAGTGGAGCCCTCCACAACATAAAGCAACTTCCTCTGCTCAGTGCCATAGCCAACGAATCAAACTGGCTAGCCTGAGAAAATATATTATGCTTAAGAGGTACTATGTTTCTAATTTTTTAATTTTCATAGTAGTTCATTAACTTTGGGTTGTATTACTTACTATGAAAAATTAGAAGATTAACCAGAAAGATATTGCCTCCAAAAAGTTTTCTGAAAACTATATTAAAACTTGAAAACCTTACAAGTAAATCAAGGTTGCTTTGCTTCCTTTTTATAGCCCATAAATGTCACTATAATGGCATGCACATTCCCCTAATAATGATGGAACCTTCTCCTTATAGCTTTGTTAATGGACAAAGCTTGCATAATGTAATCATCAATTCATGATTTTCATCAGCACACCCCAATAAATAAACTGTGGTAGGGCCCCATCAAGATTCAAACAATATTAAAAGTAGTGGGTACTTTCTTTTCCTTGTCATAAAACACTATTTGAAGACCAGAAACTGTTTGTCTGTATTCACCGAAGTCATCAAGCAACCTACCATTATCCCCGGCCACAGTTTAGTTGTCTACTGTAAACTCCTATTTTATGACACAAACCCGAAATAGTGGGATATTGACAGAACATAAGTTTTTCAAATTTTCAAATTTTCAAAAGTGTATCAGACCGCTGGATTTCCAAACGGTCAAAAGAATGGGAAGCAATGAAAAAAAAGAACAAAAACCCATCTATTCTTTTTCTTGCAAGAAGCAAAAACAAAAGCCAATCAAGCCAAAAATAAAGCCAGATTTTCTCTTTTTTAAAAGAAGATGAAGGGATTTTTACCATTAAGAGTAGATTCCAGCCACGGGGATCTCCTTGAATTGTTGCGACTGTCAAACCACCACCAGTGTGATGTGTCCTTCACCATATCCACCATTTTCTTCTACGTCTTTACCTATCCACACTAAAAGCCACAAGCCAAAATATCTCAATGCACAATTTTTTCTTCCAAAACTCAGAAACCAAATGATCGAGCAAAACTACTCCAATCTCAACAAGTGAAGGAAAAAAAGAATTTCTATTCAACAATTAATTTAATTTCAACAGCAGCAGAAGACGCATTCCGATCACTCCAAATGGCAAGCGAGTAAGGTTTTATAAAAGACCAGTGGGGTTATTATAGTCATTTCAGTCCCCGGAGGAACCATGGCGGTATATCGATGTTTCAAAACGCCAAAACGCCTGCCTAAAAACCGCATCATCCACGGAATCCATGAGAAAATAAATTTTAAAATTACCAAATTGCCTTCCTTATCTGGTTATCGTGCTCAACCTGAACCAGACGAGTAACTCCATCTCCTAAAAAAAAAAAAAAAGCCGAGAAACCTATCTTTTCTAAACAACAGAACAGGAAGAGAGTGCAACAACGTAACAACAAACGAAGCTAATACATAATACTCGAAAATGGATTATCAGTTTACATACATATGCATACATATATATATATATCGGCGTACATATGTAATATAAAGGAACAGAAAAGGTACCCAAATCTTCTTCGTCTCCGAACTTGTTCTTCGTCGGAGAGACAAAATCTGAGATAACCTTCTTGATTTCTCTGCTCCCCGTCTCTCGCTTCCCTCTCCCTCTCTTGCGCTGATCTATGAAATACAGAGTAAAAACAGAGCAGTCTAGTGATAGAGTTCAAATGCACCTCTTCCCCCCGGCTGATGCGTGGGTTATATATTTTGTCTGCTTCTAGATTCCAGAAAGACGTTTATCCAATAATATTTTGCCACGTGGAGTTAATGACCCCAGCGCCTGAGGCGCAGCTGCAGGGGCGGTGGGTTTTAAAACCTTGCCTTGTACAAATAGATATTTTTGGCTTTTCTTGAAGACATGAATTTACATAAATGCCTTTCTGGGAACCACGAATTTACATAAATGCCCCCGCCTTCGTGCCCGCAAGATTATGGAGGGAAAAAAAATTAAGAAATTAGCAATTAATTTTCTTTTCAGATAAATTAGAGGCGCATTTTTAAATTTTGACCATTAATAATGTTGCCATAAATTATTTAATATTTAATATAATTTCAAATTAAATTATCAAATCTACCATAAACATGGAGGTCAGTTGGTAATTTAGTAAATTTATGGGGAGAAAAAAGAGAGGTAAAAAAAAAAAAAAGCCTAAATTTATGCATTGAACCTGAATTGCGTGGAATAGGGTCCCAAAGGGTATATTTGGAATCTCATGAAATATTGGTTACATATATATATATATATATCTCTCTCTCTCTCATTTAGGCATGTGGAGCGTTTAAGAAAAGAGTCAAAGTGGACATAACGGTCGAAAAAATTAGATGACACATTCTATTCCTGTCGTATCCTAAACATGGTCAGTATTTATTCTTGTTTGTCTGATTTATTCATGTACTGATTTTGTCGCGTTGGTGATTTTTTTTTTTTTTTTCAAAACAAAAATTACATATATTTTAATTAATTAGAAAATATATATACACATTTATTGTAGTATAAATCTTTACAGATAATTATATAAATATTTTTTCTTGTCTATTTATTCTGATATTTTACTTGTAATTAATTTAGACAGATTTTGACCAAGAAGTCAAAATAGTCAACCAAGGTAGGACGATCTGGATCGTACCATATATATATATATATATATATATATATATATACATGTATCTACCTCCTCGGAGATGGAATTAAGAGACACATATGCCTCGGAGTAATGTGCATTATTAGATAGAAGAAAAGCATGGGATTCACTTCCGCTTTACAAACAAAATCACAGTAGTGCCTAAAAGTGAGGGAATGTGCATTTCACCTCTGCCCAAGTATAGACGCAAAAAAGTTAATTCCTCTACATAGACCTATTAAATATAGACTCTGTGCGTGTATATATATGTATATATATATATATATATCTTCCTGTATCTCTCGTTTTGTTTTCCTATTTCTCCAAAATATTTACAGACAGAGATCCTCTAAAGATTCAAGTTTCATTATATACTTCCGTAGCATTTTCATCATCATCATCAGTGAAGAAAATTTCCCGTCAGCGAGTTGGGTTCCGGCCGTGTGAATCCTCTGCCGCCAAATATTGGCCGCATGTAGGCGTCGTCGAATTTTCTCCAGTAATAGTGAACTGTGGTTGTTGGGGTGGTGAGGAGCATGCGGAGACTGGTTGGACGTGTAATGCTATTGTGTGCAGTGTCAGATCCTAAGCCCTGTCCGTTGGCGAGAAGTGGAAGAGAAATCGACTTTGGACTGGACAATTCTGAAGATATGCTGCTCGATGCTCTGTGAGGTGCCAACAAGAACTTTACAAGAGGCTTTGTCAGCAAACCAAAAACCTGAAAACAATGTTTATATTCATGAGCATGCTTACATGGTTTTACAGAGGATGCAAATTTATTAGACGTCTCCGATCAGTAGTAAACAACGATAATAATAATAATTTTAGTACGACAAATATTTTCGTAAATGAACGATAGGAAGTGAAGTACAGGGGCAGTAGGTCATTTTCCTTACCACCGTACTAAAAAGAACAACTGTGATGGTGCTAGTGATCATAATGGCATTTCCAGTCAACTGAGTATGCCCTGACCTTGTAAACTGCATCGGACAATGTAACATATACTCGTTAGCAAAAAGAAAATGGAAGAGAAGATTTACTTGAGCTTCACGAAATTTAATAGTATTAGAGACCATCATAAGGTAATAATAAGGGCAATGATATCATTCACAGCCGACAAGATCATAAACCATTTGAAAAGCTCCAATGTGTTCAATCTTTGACACCCCAACTTCATAAGCGGGTGTTTTCAGTACTTGATATTCACATAATAAATAAGAAGCATGATGCTGCTTTCATCTCTTGCTGATGAGAAAGGAAATCGGCACTTCAGTTTTCCAGTACATTCATTTTCCTACCAATCTTTTGTTTTTTGAACAAGAAGACAGCAACGGTATAGCCAAGTCAAATTTAACCAAATAGTCTGAAAATTTTCCAATCGCCTGCCCAACATTACTCTCACCTATGTTTTTCATCTTAGGTTAAAGGACACCTCAGTTTCCATTCAAGTTATACAAAAAATATGAATTTGGCAATGACAATTTAATCAACTGGTGAGCTATTCCTGAAACCGCAAAATGACAACATTATCAAAGATGTCCAAAAACTTACATGATTATACGCAAGCGCCACAGAGACAGCACCGCGCATGAGGCCCGCCCACCATATTGTAACCTGGATTAAGATAGTTAAATTAATATGTAACTAAGCAGCTTATAAATGAATCAAATAAATAAATATTTCTTACACTCAATACCAGAAAATCTTACCTGTTCCTTGAACTTTATTTTGTCACGCTGAGATTTCTTGGCCAAGTTCGATAAAAAGGACAATGAGAAAACAGAAGCTGCTCTTCCAACCATAACCAAGCCGAGCAATATTGAACTCACACCAACTGATGTCCCAGGACTGAAAATAAGTTTAATGATGTTTAAATTATAATCACAATCATAATTACTTGTGCAGCGTGAGAACTATATTTTAAGCTCTTTACTTTAGGATAATGAGACTGACATTCTCTAAAGCGATTGAAAGGGCTAAATGGAGGAACGCATTGGAAATAACATGCAATCAGAAAAGAAGGAACTAACAAGTAACACTTATGTCTAATACACGACTTGAAGTAGAGACAGAGTAGTGATATGCACACATACCTCTTGCTCACAAATCCCCACTTCTCAATGTCCAAGGCATCCATTCCAACATACATGAAGATGAAAATCTCTGATATAAAAGATAATGTTGCAAAAGCATGCCTAACAAGAAAGGTGTAAAAAATGTTAAGAACAATTTAATCCACAGTTGAAAAGGGAAAATAATACCATATGAAAATAGAACACATGTCTGAACATTTAACGTACTTGGTGGTGATTCTGGAACTTTCTGTCACATTATGCCATGTATAGTGCGACATGACAATCCCACAGAAGAACACAGTAAGAATGCCACTCAATTTGAACAGCTGAACAAAGCATAGCAATTTCCAAGATAAATAATGGTAAACAAAGTTGAACTTTCAATCTAAACAAACCACCAAGCAGATTTCATAAAGCTTAGTGGTCAGAAGAAAACTTACTTCAGCTATCATATATGAAAAGTAAGCCATGAGCATCATAAGAGCAACTTCACGATCAGTGGAGTGCCTGAAATGAAGCATCAGATATTTTAGTTTCCAAAACCATTGAATATAATTTTCCTATTTAATGCTCTAATACTTTATTGTTTGGAGGGTACTAAACAAGACAATTTTTCTATAAGATCCAACAGGAAGAACTTTTTCTCTGGCTTCTTCTGGGAGACTAGATTTCTTCTTATTATAAACTCTGAGCTTTTTTGAACAGTTTAATGAATATAAAAACAATTTTATTGAATTTATGAACACCATTTCCAACATATCCTGAGCAGAATATTTTGCATATAAAATCCCAGACAGTATAAGAGTGCAATAGTTCTAGAAATTGATAGTATCAGCAAACTCTGAGAAGCAAGAATATAAGAGGTTCATAATCTCAGCTATCTACAATATCTTACAACTAAAATCAATTTCACCTAAAGCTCCCTATTCTGACTAGATTATTGACCCATAAGTACCTGCCAAAGTATAACTTCTTTATGATGTAAGCACTTATCAATCCAACCTGCAAAAGAAAGTGAAAAACTAATATAAAAGCTGGGATACTTCATATGGATCATCTTTATAAAAAGGAGACAGTACAAGCCCCAGAAGACAGTTGGCTACTAAAGCTAAATATAATGGTGAAGAACAAGACAGAGAAGACAGTAAAACCTATTTAAGAAAAATAAAACTTAAGTAATAGGTGGAAATGATCCATTAATATGCTAACCAAATGGCTACTGAAGGAAAATAAGCAATGAATTATTAAACTAGCTGAATAAACAAATTTTACCATTGAAAGAAGGGCAATATATTTTAGATCATTGACCTCAAGATGACACTCACCTATTGTACACAGCATCGGAGAACATAACAGATATATACAAGGACACAAGTAATGGAAAAGATTAATAAGAGAGACTCACCATTACCCCCAGCAAAGTACTTGTAGTAAATAAATATAAGAAATTTCCAATCAACTCTATTAAATTGCTCGAGGTGATGTGAGTCAGGTCAAATCGCTGGATTGCGTTGAAAAGCACCACCGACGTAGCATCATTTACAACACCTTCCCCAAAGACCAAACTGTAAAGGAAAGGTGTCTCATCCTGATTAATAACCTGCCAAATCAAATACGGGAGTCAGGAACTGAAAGTGGCGAGCTTCTCACCACTTTAAAGAGACATGTTTATACCTGCAAAGTGCAAACAGAATCTGTGGCTGAAAAGATTGCTCCAAGGGCTGTAAGTAAAGAAACAAATAATGTGAAGCATGTGAAGAGGGATAACAAATTGAATAATAAGTATAATCGTATCAGGCCAGTAACGGCTATAAAATTAATGTTAAAGGATATAGCAAGTACCAAGATAATCCCTCATGTCCAGAAAACCAACATTCAGTTTTTGGAATAACTGCAGTGAACCTGAATCAATAGTCTAAAAGTCAAAACCTTGATAAATCATAGAAGTAGAACAATACCAACTCGCAAAAACTAATACATGGACCCCTATCAACAGAGTGTATGCCCTCATTTATAAACAAAAAAGAAACACAAATTTCATGTAGATATCCATATCATAATTCGAGCATATAACTGAATTTTAGAATGATGCATTATCAACTTAAATTTCCTTTTTTTTCCCATCAAGGAAACAATAGGAGGCAAATAGCACCCTGAATTGGAAATCTAATAGAAAATGATCATGTTAACATCCTTAAGAGCATCAATGCGTATATGCTATAGATATATTCTGAGGAGTAAAACATAAACATTGTCTAAGATATTCGTCTCTTTCTATTCTATAAGAAGCAAAGTCATCTCTTTAACCCTCAATATTAACAAGGAAGAAGGATACTATAAAATAACATTTAAAAATGATAGGTTGTCAAATGATATAATGAAGGGAGAATGTCTCTTAAAACATAGAGCAATGTGCGGTTTTCTGCTAAAAGAGTTAGTTTATTATCGTTACGATTAAAAAAAAATATGAGTTCAAACATTCTATCTAAAGCCAAGACATAATGAGCCTGCTGTAGTTCTCAACAACATTCTGCATTAGAACCCATTTATGCATGAGGATATGAAGAAACACGCATGCTTGTGAATGTGACGCCAAGACAAACACAATCAAGTATATCATGGAACCATTTAGCATCCAGTAATGACAAATGCATGTTGAAGGTTTGACAATTGTTTAAACAGATATTCTTGAAAATGCATACTCATCCTTGAATTCTACATATTTGGAGTATTACCTATTGATATGATGGTGAACGATATAAGGGTACCAACAGCACCAAACAAAGTTATTGTCATAAAATTTCGAAAGAACTGCTTCTTTTTTACCTGGAACCTGATGCATAAAAGAAGATCCAAATCATCAAAGACAATAATAATGAAATCTTTTTCCAGTTTGAAAGGTATTTTTCATGGAGAAAAACCATAAAGTGAGCATTGTGAAATATCTATGTGAATTAACAGAACAATTAAACCTGGGGTTCCACAGTCTAATAATGATTTATCTGAATAAGCAAGAAATATTGTTGATAATGATAATTGTAAAGCTACAGACGTAGCAAGACAATCATAGTTCCTGACAACCCTACAGAAGCACCAATATGTTAAGCTCTTCAGCAATGCAAATCATCTCAGAAAGATATAATGGACAATGTAGGACCTTAATAATACTCCAGCTATGAGATGGAGATTGGAATCAGTTGGACTATCAACTCTAAATTCGGATGTAGCCATTGTAATTAGTTGGACTATCAACTTCTATTAAAAAATACGTGTTGAAAATGACTCCATATGGCAAGCCAGTTTGCATAGTAACCAAGAGCTAATTACCCAAAATAAACATAGACTTAAAGGTAATAGACTATATTTTTATAGTTATAATACTTCAAAGAAAAAGTGAAGTAAATCCATTCAACAAAATGACATTTCAATCCTGACTTACTCGAGGTTGACCATGTGGACCCTCGTTCTCAATTTATACCAAGGAGATGAAAAATACATTTTAACATGTTTACAACATCTCCCTGTACGGGAAAAGCTCAATATCCTAGAAACTTCAATACGTCTAATATGATTTACAAATAGAGTTGATAGCCAATATGATAAGCAAACAAAACGCCCGTCATAATAATCTGAAAATAAAAAGGAAATCTGCTAACTAACCATACAAGAGCCTGTGCAAATAGAAGATTCCAACTGATTACAAATTCTTTCAACCTCAAATATTTAAATAATTTGCAATATTTAAGCTAGTTTCCAAAGGAAACCAAAAGGGTCTATCATTAATCCGGAGTAGAAGTAGATAAAGGCAAGCTTACCCAGCATTGAATATTATAGGTGGAAGAAGATATATAAAGAAAAGTTCCTCATCAAATACTAGAATGTGTGAGCTCTTTCCTTCAGTGGTTAGTAGCAGAATGATACCAGTTCCAAGGCCCTGAAATTAAACCCAGAAATAATCATCTCCATTTTGCGTAAAGACAACGAAGCAGTCAACCAAACAAATACAAACTAAATAAATACTGTTAAGAATATTTGTTGCTCGGGATGCAAGAAAAGAAACTCACGATAGCAAGTGCAGTAATTGACTCATTTATCCATCGATTCTTTTCAAGAAGATGGCCAATCACAATGCAAGCACAAAGAAGTGCCACAAACAAAGTTATTGAATGAATGGACGCTGGTTCAGGTTCTGACTCCATTCCTGACCTCATCAGAAAAGAGCCTGCTTTGACAGATTCACTGTTTGTAACACAGATAAACACAACTTGGTGAATAAATTCATGAACAGAGAGAAACAACTAACATGGAGTTGAAAATTCTGACACTGTACGAACTCTCGCTGAGAAAACTAACATAACACTCAGGAAAAAAATATAGTGCAATGGATGCTTACCTAATATCTCCGAATCCCAATATCAATCACCAATCAGAACGACATAATATAAAAGTGAACAAAGAAAATCATGCTGCGTTACATTAGAAGCTGTTGACCAGGCACAATAACCAAATTCTTCATCTAAGACATTCTGGAGAAAAAAAAAATAAAAGCACAGTAAGAAAAACAAGGGTCTCCAATCGATCGTCGCGCGATTGAATTCAGTTCCCGAGATGTCAAGCACCGAACTGTTAGATAGAACTCTAAGAATTGTATTGCCTTCTGTTTCTTTTTTCTTTTCGTATACTTTTCTTCCAGATTCTCATTTCTCAGCACTAAACAAGAAAGCAAAGCCCGCACTGAGGCTATACCACAATTTTGGCCGAAGCTAAGTCCAGTTACAATTACTCCTCTTTTGCATGACAACTCAGTTTCTTCAAATACTGAATATTAAAAAGAAAAGAAAAGAAAAACCAGCAAGCAAGCAGACAAACAAACAAACAAACAAAAACTTAAGAGCGAAGAAACCCTTACTTCCCTCACAACCAAACGAAGAAAATAAGAAAAAAAAACGTTTACCTCAAAATCTCCACGACCTCTTGTATCGCGAATTCTTTGCTCTCCTTTCAACGCGAATATCTACAAAATCTTCTTCTTCAAAATAAAATTTCTCCAAAATTTTTACAGATGAAGAGAGAGAGAGAGAGAAAGCGGGAAAAAGAAAGCGACAGGTTCTGAGACGGAATATATATGGACAGAGCAAGGAAAGGAGGAGGGAATACTAACAGCAAAAGCCGCGACCGAAAAGAAATGGAAACTGTGCTGTTTTATACGGTGTAGTAAAGCACTCGGGAAAGAATCTTATACCGTAGATCGCCACCGCACACTTGTTAATCAAGCTTTTATTGTTCGCGAAATATCTTCAGTGGGCCCGAACTAAATTCTACGCTACGATTAGGCTCCAAATATGTTGCATTGAACGGTCAGGATCCGTTGTTCCGTTTTGACGTGGGAACCATCCAACTACATTCTCATACCAACCGTTTTTGAAGTTTTTAAAATTCAGCTTTAACAGAAGCCGATCGAAATTCGAACTCTTTTCCATATTCGTAGGAATTTCCTTGTGCGATGCAGCGGTTTATTTAAAATATATTATATATTTTTAAAATTATAAATATAAATCTCATATACAATACATATTATAATATTAATATACTTACTATAAAATTAACTATTATATTTTAATATTTATAAATTTTAAATAAATAATTATTATATATATTTTTAAGATTATTTTTTAAAGTATTTAAATATTGTATAAGCATTTTAGTTTCTTTTGTTGTGTAATTAAAACAAATGTTTAAAATAAACATAAAATTCATGTTATTAAATTATTAAAAATTAGATTATAAGAAAATCTAATTTTGATAATTAATTTAATAATTTAATATAATAAAAATTATAATTATTTATTTATAAATTTTAATTAAGTAGTATCATATTTATACTGTAACGACTCCATAAAATTTCAAATGAAATTAATTATAAATTAAGTGCGGAAACAAAATAAATAGTTAGGTTTATATTACTTACATAAATATTTAAAGTATAAAATAGGCTACGAATATTATCATTTTGAGAGAAATATGATAAATTAAAGAAATAACTAGAAAATAAATAAAATTGGCATTCTACTCGCAACCTTCTTGTGGATTGGACTCTGGATCATGTTCCTCTTGATTTAAAATTGTTAATAAATGAATGAGCTACACTAACCCATTAAGAATATCACACTACTCACCGACACAGAAATGAAAGTTGGTAGAAATAATAAAAATAACTAATATAGCTCTTAATTTAGCAAAATTGTTTATCATAAATAAAATCATTTACTGTCTACTTATCATAACGGGATTACCAAAAATAACTTATAGAGACAATAACATAACACATATCATGATTTCATATGCAATTAGTTTGAACAACAATTTTATATGTTATCAATCTACTGGTATCCATGGTGGTTCGTAGGGATGTCCTCACAACGCGTGAATTATTTTCTTTAACATTTTCAATTAACGGGTCGTACTCATATTCCGTCCGATAAGATCATCAAATTACTAAACCTCAATATCTCGTCTAGTATGAGGATGAAACGGGTCGTCCCCATACACTGTTCGGTATGAACATCAAATTATCAAGCCTCCATATCTTGTCCGGTATGAGGCAACGTTCACGGTATGATTTTCTATGTACCCGATCTGTCCACCATCTCCCAAAATATCTAGTAGGGTTGTCATTTCATCTATTTACTTAATCACAAAATTTTCCATTTACCTTTAATCTCCAGTTTATTAATTCAACCGTAATCACATAAAACAAATAATACATGCATTCAAAACTATAAAATTGTTCAATCAGATACTATCATGCATTCAAACTATAAATCAATCAACATGATCAACAGTGAATAACTTCCGATTATAACTCAATTAATAACTTGTAATTAATTATGGATATTTTCTAAATTACATAAAATACTCTATTATAATTAATTAGACTTCAATTCCATAATGGATAATAAGGTGATTGATTATTACTCAAATTGATGTCCGAAATGCTAAACTTGTTGACTACGCCTACTAGCGGTCCCCGGGTTCCCTGATTTTTTTTTTCGGTATTTAAAACGCGCTACAGGTACCTAAAAATATCCCCAAAAAAATCAAAATCAGTGTTCGGGCCCCTTTTTGGCCAATTCCAGAATTTCAGCACGGCAGCTCTACCGTGTTCCAACGATGGCACTGCCGCCCGTTGTAGTAGTTTGCCTCGGGTCAACTGTTTTATGTCGGTTTTGTATCAATCTCTGTGATAAAATATGTTAAGGGGTCTCGGTTGGCCGAAAAAAATAAAAAAACTGAAACTCACCGGCGGTGGGATTCTCCGGTGCGACGGCTCTACTGGCTCCCCTTTGTGGTTTGATGTTTTGTTTTGGTCAACCCGTAGAGAAGGAAACAGTGATTACAATGGTGGAAGAATTACACATAATAGGAATCAGGAAAGGCCTCATCGGAGGCTTTTTGTAATTTTTGGCGGCAGTGACGCCGAGCTTTATCCGCAGTTTTCAGTTAATCCGCCGACCCTTTTGCTCTGATTTGGTCATGGGAGTGTTTAAAATAGAATTCCGAGCAAATAAAATTTTTTTTACCTTTTTTGCAATCGGAAGTGACTCCGGTATGACGGCAGGTGGCGGCGGCTTCTTTCCTGACGGCTGAGTCTTCTTCTCCGACGGGAGGGGGGAGAGGTCTGTCAATTAGGGTTAGAGTTGA